TTTTCTATTTATTATTGATAAAATATTGATGATGATGATATATCATCAATACCACACACATACCACACACACAATAATACAAATAATAATAAACACACACTACACTAATAATAATAAACACTACATACAAATACACAATACACACACACACACACACGTTTAATAATTGCCATTACATCAACATACTGATATACATTTTCTGCATTAAAAAAAAATGAATTGTATACTAATAGTGTATACTGCAAAGATATTAAAAATATACAGAAAATTTACGGGGTGAAGTTAATGCGTGGGGTTGAATTCTGGGAAATGGCAGTAAAACAAAAACAAACTACTAATCTGAAATTATGAAACGCTAATATTAAACTATATTTTTAAATAATACTATTTAATACTTTTTAGTATATTTGTGTTAATCGATAGTCAAATAAATTACATGTAAGCCCGCACAATTAAAATTGCGCAATAACTATTGTTATTTGGATAATGGGCGCATAAACAATATTAAATGTATTTAACATTTTGCTTTTAAATATTTCGATGTACATATTTGTTTGTAGATTTTTTAAGTTATAAACGGACTTTAAACTTTATTATTAATAATAAAAATTGTTAACATTCTAACTAATTATTTATCTTTGTAACTATTGTGTCAGGTAGACGTTTCATTGTTGTTTATTTTTCAGCTAAAATTCTTCAACTTTTTGTTTTACTAAATGGCGCAGTTAGTAATATAATAATTTTAAATAATTTTGGTATCATAGTTTGTATAATACGAAATGTATGCATTGTACGTTTTGATTAATTATGGTTTCCGTAATTTATGTTATATACCTACTTATTGTATTGTTATACTATACTAAAAACTAAGAAATGATAAATGTCAGAGTTTTAATTATGACAAATAGAACGTGATGAGAACTTATAAACTATTATCTACTATCATATCATCGTGTGTGGGTTGGTTTATGATATATCTACTCTGTTTTTAAAGTAGTAAATGGTCATCATGATATAGTATCGAATTTAATTTGTTTAATATTTACCTGAAATTTAAAGCTTTAGTAATATTCCTATGAGTGAATCAAAGGTTTATTGTATATTTATATGATTTACTTGAAACAGAATATATTGTATTAATATAACTGGTTATTAATTTAATGATATATACAATATAAATAATGGTACTATAAATGTTTATAAAATCGTAACATATTATTTCAAAATAAATTATAAAATAAAATTTTAAAATGTTTTGTATTTATTAGTTATTACTTAGTATTTCCACTTAATATTGTTTAATAATTATTTCAAACTACATTAGTATAAAACTATGGTAGTATTATAATTCATTATTATTAGCATGAGTCATTAATAATTAAATGAAAATATTCAAATATAATATATTTTAACAAATTACAAACCTTAACGTTATTATTTGGATAAAAAAAAAAAAAAAACGAATTTTGAAGATAATAGTGATATAGTATTTTATAACGTTATATTTTTCTTAAAATCATTGACATATTTTACAAAAAGTGAAATTTTTTATTTGAAATACTAAACTCTTACTTACAAGGTTATATGTAACAATAATGGGAATAAAGAAATATAAAATGATCCAAAATATAATAAATATATAAAGGTCCTTATGATAAATATATGAAGCTATAATTAGTAAGTAATGAAATAATGACTAATGATAAATTCATTTTTCAAAATAATTTAAGAACTAAATGTTTATAAAAAAAAAAAATGATAAATGTTATTAAAAAGGTATATAATATTTTAATTCAATTTAATTTAGGTTACACAAACATTCATAATTATTATGTAAAAAAACTTACAAATTAATATTAGTGCGACTCTCTATAATAATATAAGTGTTATTCCGTCGAAAATTAACAATATTAACGCATTTTTAATTGTATTAAACAAATTATTACATCATTATTCTTTGTTCTTTAGAAACTGCTATTAAAATATTAAGTAGTTTGTATGGAATAAAAATGATAATTTATTTATTTATTGTAAATATAGAAAAAGCATAATTTTTAATTGATAAGTATTGACAGTTTAGTATTGAGTACGTGGAATGTGGACATTATACTTACTTTTACAACGTTATAATAATGATTTAATTCATTCAGTATAATCCTTTAAAGTTATAAATTTAAAGTTAAAATATTTAATTGAGCTAATCGCCTCCAGTGAATATACATTAAACAGTGATTTATACACATGTAATTGCCATAAGCCTATATTGATGATAATTGACTATTTAATACGTAAATGTACATGTTTATATATATAATGGTATATTCGTAAGATACAAGGTATTTATTTTATTTTTATCTTGAATTATTCAACACATTAGGTACCTATACTTTAGCTTTAATAGTTGTCTATTAACCCTTTCGCCCCAAATTATGTTCTGACATAAAAAAAAAAATAAAAATATTTGTTACATAATTATTTATACAAGTGACCAAACTAAGAATTATTTTGAGTTTGAGAATTTTTTGATCACTAAGTTCTAAGTTATTGAGACATTCCATTGTAATGGCAGCTGAGCGTTAAAGATCGTGACTGTCTATGCCATCTTAATGGTAATTGGGCAAGAACGGATATAGATTTAAATAATAAATCATCTAATTTTAGTTTTTATTTTTTTTTTAAATCTTAAATATTTTATAATTAAAAAAAAATGTTTTACAAGCCAAATAAACAATATTACAAGAAGGAACGGCCAAAAACAAATTAAAAAAGCAGCGTTGATATTTATTGATAGGAAATTTATGATGATTATGATGTCCAATTGCTATTTTAATGGCATAATGTTTACGACATAATAAAATTATAGCGCTAAGTGATAATTGATAAATACAAAATCATTTCATAATATGTTAACAATATTAGTTTAGCCTCAAAAAATTAAATATGGGATTTTTAGTGCTTGTATTAGTTTGGAATTAGAAGAAAAGGTGATATAAAGAAAAAAAATGTTGATAAACAATTTTGTTATAAATTAACTTATACTATCACTTTATTTGGGTTCGTATTGATTTCTTATTATTTTTGACGTATGTGTTTACGTATAAATCAATGATTACATAGCAAAAATAATTTGAATTGAATTTGATAACGACGTTTCTTTTATTATGCCATTGAAATAGCACTGGAGACCGAAAGGGTTATAAAGGTACGATTAACGTCTCATCATAATGGGTATTTATTGTGTAATTTTGTGATATCTTTATTCTTTATTTTTCATATTTGTTTTCATAAAACGTAAGTACTTAAATATCAGTATGTGATGTTATCGGGGTTTTTTTTAAACATATTTGAAGATTCTAAAATAAATTAAAATAATTTGTTGAAGTCAACTTCGAGTCATTTTGTTGATTATATTTTTACATAATTAGGACTAAAATTTATTTTTGTATATTATGGAGTTCATTAGCACATTATTGTTGTGATTTTTCCATTGTTTTAGGTTAGCAAGTTAAAATGTGGTATGTGAACATTGCGAATACGCAGACATAATATAAGCTCAGAGTTTTCATTATCACAAGTATATATTTACACACACACACACACACACACACATTTATCCCGTTTTAAGGATGAAGAAGTTGTACAACATACTTCAACAGTACTTGAAACTTATGATTTTTATATTATTTCTAAGAGATCATTAAGCCATAACCGGCAGGTTTTCACTAGTTTTAGAATTTATTATGAAAATTCCCTTTTGTAATATAAAATGAAATAACTTTAACGTGTATTTCGAATAATAACATAAAAAACGACATTCTGAGAATTTCATAAAACAACTCACCTGTACGTTTTTGCTGAAAAAATTGTTGGTGAATATGTGCACAGCCGAAAAATTTCTTACTTCGCTAAATTCGAATATAAGTTCCACAAATCCCTTTGAGAAAGATTCTTTATGCCATCCAACCCATCCGTTACCTAAATAAAATAAAATAAAATAAAAAGAATTATTTGACAATTCCTTATGAAATTAATTTTATTATAAATTATTTAATAATATAATTTATTTAAAGTTGAGATTGAAATAAAATAAAAAAATATATTAGTAGATCATACAACATATTTATTTTGCCAATAATTTCATAATTACCTACATATTTATTCGACATTTCAAGGTATAACACTACATTGCTACAATACGTAGTATTTTATACATCATTAAAATTTAAAATAAATTTAACTTACAAAAATGAAAGATTTTTATTTATATTAATAACGACTATGTACTTAAATAGTATACTAAAATTTTTAGAACAATTTAATCATCATAAAACATTAAATTAGATAAATATTAATAAATATGATAAACAACCAAAAAAAAAAAAAAAAAATACTTTTTACTCAACGAAAGATATAATTTAGACACAAACAAATATATTTTTTATTACTTATTTTAATTCTAAGTGAAAGATAGAATTTGTTGGTTTTATAATAAGACTTTTTTACTTGTTTTTATTTTCTGTTAAATTTTTTATAACAGTAAAAAATGTTGAACAGTTCAAGGCAGTATCTTCGGAGTTTGGAGTGGAACACAAAATGTACTTTAAGTCATTTGTTTTTCGAATTTTCAAGTAGTTTTCGGAAAAAGTCACACAAAAATAGATAGTGAAATATAAGTTTTACCAACATCATGACCACTCCCTTTGAATAATTTTTCAAATTAAATGATTCATTAGTTTTACATTTTATAATAATCATTCCTGTGGTCATCATGATTTCAGATTATTTCATCTTATATTATTTTAAAACTATTATCTTGTATTTTTATGATACAAATATATGTTAATAACTATAAATCATATTATTGTATTATTGTATGCACTATGCACATTTAATAAAAACCATGAGAATAGTGTTATACATAAAACTTTTATTATGGTTATAATACATTTTTACTTACAAATAGATGCATTGATATTCAGTATTAGATTATTATATTTAGACATGTATTTTTTTAAACCTATAATATCCTAAAGTATTTAATATTTTAATCAATGCGCTAAATATAATATTTAAATGTGTAAAAAACTATGTGGCTGCCTATTGTGTAATCCACAACACAAATATAAATATATAATATACATACAATAAGAGTGAAAATAATAACTTTTTAAGATACAAATTACAATATGTTTTATTTTAATATTTTTTTTTCAACGGGAAGCATTTAGGAATTTACCTGTTCGTATACCTTTTTTTGACGAGAGCCGTTTAGAATCCGACGATATAAATATTATAAATAATATGTCTACATAGTGTTTATAGTAAAATTCAATGATAATCATTTATTAGAGTCATTGAAAAACTTTTTACAAAATTTTAATGACATGTCGCTTTTTATTTTTCTTATACTATAATTATTATTACTGTTCCAATTGCACCAGAAAAGTAACGATAAAATTGGTTATAATTTTTATATTATTATGTTTAAGTGTGAATTTAATTTTAATTTTTTCTCTCGCCACGGACATTTAGGTATAAATCATTTTGCAAGTTTGTGTGTGATACAGTCACGATGGTTTATACTTATAATATGCCACTGTATTGTGTAAACTTATTATGACCCTTGCCCCGCTACAGTTATTATGGTTTTTACATTATAAAATATACATTGTATTAAAAATTTCAATGATGTATATATACGTTATAATTATATTATGTATATTAAAAAAAAAAAAAAAAAATAATAAAATAAAAAAAAATGGGGAGGGATGTAGTAGAAGGCTCAAGGGTTAAAGTTAAATAACTCTTAGAATGTGGCTGTGACGTGGTGCGGAGTAGAAGGGAGCCCACAGTCATTACCCGTTGTTCCATTAGTATAGTTTTTCCCCGATTTACTTTATCGTATTTCATGTCATGCTTGGAGAGTCGTAATATTCAAAATTATACGCATATAACATTATATATATATACATACGTATTGCATACAATATATACGTTCACCTCTATTCCGTTATAATGAACCCCTACGTTTCCGTCCAACCATCCGCCGTTGCCTTCTCCTTCACCCACATTGTACCCCGCTCACCACTTCTCGCCGATCTCCTACCCCCCATCGCTGGTGGAAAATATTATAAGGCTTTCGTTTTCCAAAGTTACGCACGTTTATTTGTTATTGTTATTGCCGGGGATTTTGAAACATGAATTATTATTTATATACACGCGGAGACTGCAGCAGAACGCGTGCAAGTTTCCTGGGGCTTATTAAAATGTTCATATCATTAGCTTTTACAAACGTCACATTCCGCCAGCACAAACCGGCTGCGCTTCAAAAGTTTAGCGCGCGGCAAAAATATTAATTGAATAAAATGGCCCACTGCCGTCACTCCTGCAGATGCCCGCGATGTTAATAACGATCATAATAATAATATATGCGAAGAATATGCTATATACTTATACTGTAAAATATTCTCTATACTAATATTGAAATAAGTGTCTATTATCATGATGATAATCATGATAATCATCATCATCATCGTCATCGTAGCTGTTGTTCTTTATGGTAAACGCTAATATATATATTATTGTTATTAATATGACTACTTTATACTTTCTGCCATCGAACACAGTACAGCTGAGGAGGTAAAATTATTATTCGACAACGAGCTATAAAATTAGACAGATATAATATAAATGCGCGTAATATATATATATATAACAATGGGTCGTTCGTGAGCGATTACGTATAAGAACGCTGCTGTCGCTTGGATTAATAATACGTGCTTACCGTTCCTGGATAATATATTTTGGAAGATGAGGTTTTACTTTTTGGTATATTTTATCGGTTAAACGGATGCCATTATATTGCATCATAAAATTTACAGATTAGATTAATTAAATTTATTATACGGGTATTAGTCACAATAAAGTACCAGTGGTGCACCGTAGTCAAAAATTGTTATTACTTTAAAGTTGAGCATTTAATTCATATATTTAATGCGTATATGCAATATAAACATTGATGACAATATAATATAATCATTAAAATAATAAAAAAACCACGGTTTTGTTAATCACACAGATTTAATTGATATGTATTATAATTGAAATATTTTATCGAATAATTATAAAATCATTTATTAATCATAAAAGTTATACTTTGTTATTTTCATAGTGTTGTACCATAATAATTCAGTTCATAAGATGCTTTTGAATAGTTCAATATAAAACTTAGTGTTTTTATAGTAGTATTGTGTTACCTTTTCCGTAACCGATATCCATTTTATAGTTGTCCTCTCCGCGCACACCGTCGACCAAACGTCCGAGACCTCCTTGAATTTTGTCACCACGTACCACACCGTCATACGAAAGGTCTGATACGTCCGTAATATCACTTGCAGGTCCGTCCAACGGGATCGTATAGCTAATTATTCCGTCTGAAAAAATATATTCAATTATTATGATATATAATTGCAATTTACTGTAGTGGTGGAAGTACGCTGTTATCATAATCGCGTGATGAATTTTTATAAGAGATTGTGATGTTTTGTACACAAAGATGATAACTTCGAATCATACGAAGATATATGTATTTATACACCAGACTCACGTCGCATACGCCAAAAACGGTCCCGACCTTTCTGTGAAAAGGTGGTTCGAGGATATAACAATAATATGCACATGACGGGTTTGGAATTTCTACGGTAGCTAAAACCTTCCTAAATAATATATGGGGAACGGAGGGAAACGTGGTGAGCCCGTGAGTGATGAACGCCCTGAATGTTTTTATGAAAATAATATATTGTATTGGCGTGCGGACATCACTATCTATCCCATATATATTATTAATACACACACACCTTGAAATATTGATAGTTTGTTTATTAAAAACGAAATACAAAAAATTATCCGAGCAGCCGGAAAGTTTTACATAAAAAGTTATTGGTAAAAGAGAGGACCATAATGATGGCAGTTTTTTTTTCAGAAAAACAAACTTATATGATGTACATAATTACATACGAATTTACATTGCATCGTCAAACGGAAAATACCAATTAACAAGTATTGTCAATATGATTTAATACCTAAAAACCAAAAACGCGTCCATCATTATGTCCGAATGGTGAAATAACACTATACAAATATACATAATATATGGCGTGTGTACGTCAGCAGGAAAAAGGTCATGAGTTCGCGTGACGGGACCGCGAAAGAGAACATTCCACAGCGTTGTCCAGTTACATAATGATCGTTATAGTAGATTATTGTAGTGAGAGTGGAGTAGAAGTGTTACGTTTTGATGAGTATTTTTTATTGAGAGAAAATAAACATACAAACACTATACTGTATATTATTAAATACTATATATCACAGATCCACCTGGTACGAGAAAAGGTTTATTTTCCTAAAATTTCGTGACGGGCGCAATATGTATGTATTAAAACGTATACAATATACATAACTTTAAATTGTACATAGCACGAACATACAGTATTTTGTGTTAACAATGATATTGGTCTTAACGTGTTTTTAAAATTTATCATCAATCATATCCCATTGAATTCTTATGAATAAATTAATTTTTAAATAAATATAAAACTACAATTTCATTTAATATTTATTAATATTTGTTTATTTACTTGAACAACATCGTAATAAGATTATTGATACATTTGGGTATAAAATATATACCTGACGCAGTAACGGAGTATAAAAATATATTAAAAATGTAATAGTTTATATAATAGCAAACATTTGATGTTATATACTTGTTTTATTCGTCTTGTAACGTAGTACGAGCATGGTCTATGAACAGTTTTCGAAAAGCATTTCACCCGTAAAACTCGGGTTACATAAATAACAATTGTACGGAAGTATATTATTTTAGTATATAATGTACATGTAAATACGGGTCTTTAAAGGTATAAAATATATATTTTAATATAATATTATACAACACTAGTTTATCGGCCGCTACTTTCAACCCTAACCGACGGTAAGAACACGCACACTTCTTCAATGGCACATGGATTAAGTATATATGAACCTATTTCGTGGTAATGACGGTATGTAATAGAATGTTGGTGCAAATGACCGATCTAGGAAAGTCACTGCACGTTCCATTTCTAAGAGGAGAAGGCGAGATTAGTGGGTTAGGGGATGATTGGACGTTTGGAGGGTGGGAAGTTCGTTGTGGGATGTATGTCATAAGCGTCCGAGAGAGGACTAAGAAACGGTGGTATCGACGCCATTGGTCGTTGTAGTTTGTAGGTATATGTAATAATATATTAAATTCTTCAAAGCTATCGTATTTGTATGTATAAAACCCAAACTTCAAGGCACGTCATTATATACATCGCCGGCAACGTAATTTTGGTGTGGTTTTGCTGTTTCAAATTTTCAACGACCTCGCACAACAGCTGTCACTGAATATACTGTATAGAAAGGTTTCATCAAATACGGTGTACTTGTATCCTAGAAATGCTGTGTAGTGGTGGCAGCAAGAACTTTTTTTCTTTGAGAGAAATTGTATAATATTTTAAATACCACAGGTTCGCACTACTCCTACCATCACTATCTTCAAAACACCTTTACTGGATTTTACTGTACGCCAAAGAGACTAGCGGGAGGTTTCACGCTCCCCATATTAACTAGATTACTTTTTCATAAATTTTAGTAAATATAGAGTGTACGTTTATACATAAAATAATATTATTTATTCATGAGAAATAAATTTACTATGAGCTATACAATCAGCAATAATCTCGATGTAGACCCCACGTGGATGTATAGTAAACCTGGCTGTAATTTGAGTAAGTATAAAACAATTTGGTAATAATTATGTGCATTAACCACATATTAATATATATCTGTGGTAGGTACTACACATGTTTACGTAAGTTTATAATTATAAATAATTATTTTTTAATATAATTTGAAGTCGATGCAATTTGATAGAAATCCATATATCTAGTATCTCAAACAGTTGCTTTATTGGTTCTAATAATGCCATATTATATCCTTATACCGTCTGAAAACTTCGTTTTAATGAGATGTGAATATGTGATTAATTGTATACGACTTACGGAAACTTGTTAAAAAAAAAAATATTCAAATGAAATATATAAACATGTGTGAGAAAATACATTCGTGATTAAATTTTAGTATATAATATAGTCACAACACATTATCGGAAAAATTAAAAAAAACCTACCATTGAGCAAATCAAATGTTTTTTTTTGAAATACTAAAATTTACATGGCCTATTAGAGTTATAAATATATATTGTGTGATCTGGTGTGGTGTGGTGATTGGCCTCAGTCACCAACATGTTCTGAAGTCAATCATCAGCCTGTGACTCCATTGTGCTTGAATGGGTGACCACCCGGTTTCTTAGCGACGAATCTATGGCCCACACATAAATACACTTGTTCTATAATCCTACAAGAAACTCAAAAATCTATCGTGCCCTATTAAAGCTAATGGTCTTAGTTTCCGGGCTTAAAATCAATAAAAATAAATATATATATATATATATATTATGATATATATCTATTTAATTTCAATAAAACTTATATAAAAATATAAATGTAGATCTTATTATACCGTTTTATAATAGTGCATTTATAAAGAAATACAGAATTATGGTCATTCATATTTAACAATATTTTTGCAGTGTTTGTAATTATCTGAATAAAGGGGCAATGTGTGGGTGTAGGTAATAAAACGATTGCATTTTAAATGGAAACTACTGTGATATTAATGATTTCAATTTAAAAAAATGTAATCAATAGGAGGAAGATTTTTATGAACGTGTTGATACACTGTGATCTAGTATTTTAAATTAATGAAGAGTAGGTATTATTATAAGGTAGGTAAATTATTTTTGATTTTAAATTGGACGATTTTAGAATTGAAATTTTTAAGTAATAATAGAATATAAACATAGGTTTATCACTTATAATCCATAGAAAAATATGATAAATTTAAGTTTTATACAATTTCTACACAACTGTTATTAGATATTAGACATTTTCAAATAAAAATCAAAATTAATGAATATTTTTGGCAGTATCAGCTGATTCACGTTTTATAATTTAGTACATACCTTTACATTTTGTTACATAGTATATTTAATATACTATATTAGATGCATAGATGCATTAAGAAAATTATTGGTCATAATACAATCGTCATTGCAAATATTTTAATCGAGCAAATATATTTTGTAATATATTAAGTATAATATATATATAAAGTAATGTAAGGGCATAGACTCGAATCATTTTAATCATTATTTAATTACTTCAAAAAACAAATTTTACATATCATCGAATTAACTTATATTGTCGTTCATTGAAGTTTACAAATCAAAATATCATATCCGAGACTAATTGCAATATATTATGTCTACAAGTTTGTACATTAATTTAAGAGATGTGATACAAAAAATATAATTGTGACATTAATTTTTACTCCATTAAATAACTGCTTTTTGTCCATTCTATAAATTTATTTCTATAGTTTATTTCCTAAGAAACCAAGAAACTGTAAGTATAAAAAGTTAGAGATTTTCTTCGCTATAAACCGATTATTATCACGAATAATGCAGAATATATATATATATATATATAAGCACATACGTCAAGTTGTTTTTATCTACTACTAAGTTTTCTGAGAACTACAGTTGTTATCTCATACTAAGTTTTCCCAGCAAAATAGGTGAGTACATATTTTGACGTCTTAAAAACCTGCCAAGAGATTATCCATTTATTGGAGAAACTGTTTTGATTGTGATTCAAACTTGTGTGTCTTTGTCGAAGTTTGCCCCAGTAAAATATCCAAAACACTCGAAACCAGAAACAAGTCAACTTAAAGCGATAAAGGTTCAGATGTAGTGCTTAAGGGTATTTGTTATAGGACTAATCGTATCATCTATTTAATAATAACTTAGGTCATCGTTTAATTTTATACTTAAAAGTATTCAATTATATTTTGCTTAATCAGCATAATAATTTTGAAGATAATTTAATATATACCTACGTTTTAGATTTTGTAAATATTCATTTAAGTTTTATATTATTTATTTTAATTGTTTAATTCTTGTAGAACTATTAGGTATTAAAAAATGTGATTTAAAAAGTTTAGTGATAATTTTATCTTCTCTGTATGTTATATTTCTCATGTAAACTAAATCAAAATGTTTATACTGGATTTAATCATTATTTATTTATTTTTTTAATAAATTTGATTATAAAATTATTTATGTTCATTTAATATTTATAAATAAATTAGATTCAATATTTCATTAAATAATAAACGTATTTAATATTAATTAAATACATTTAATAGGTATTAATTCAACCAATAAATCTGAGTATATTGTATTAAACCCATAATGTATAGCAAATTTACTCATACTTGAAGTTATTATACA